AAGGAGGTTACATCAGGGCTGAAATCTGCCTCTAAAACATATGAGTGTGGATTTTCAAAACATTTGAGATTTAAAGGCAATTATACATCAGGGAATTGTACAATTAATGGAATCTGTGTTTCTGACTCCTTGAAGTCAATATGTTTTGATCTGTCCTCACGATAACTTTCACATTCATCTTATTACATTTATTTTTGTTTACAGATAAGTCCATGTAAAAACACAGCATATACATGTATGTGACCCGCTCTATCGAAATCAGTCGGAAGTCGCAACGGCTCATTTCAAAATAGTTTTTCGGGTGTTTTGTTTGATTTTAAATAAACAAAGTCTTGACTTTCAGAATATGAAACTTTTATTTCCAAAATCTCACGATTTTGATGTTGATTTGCTGTAATCATAGATAACACGGCAGGGTCCGTTACAGTTTGTTTTCATCTGATTTCAATTAAACAAAGTCTTGGCTTTCAGAATATTAAACTTGTTTCGGCAAATTCAGATGATAAATACAACTTTGAAGCTTCGGCATAATTACAAGCGGAGAACGGAGTAACTTAACGTCTCAGCAGGCACAACAACAGCCGGTGTTTCTCGTGAGTATTTTCCCCGGGAAACAAATACAGTGGCGGCTGGTGGAAAATATTTTAGGTGGGGCTGTGGAAATGGTGACCAAACAATACTAGGGGGGTCCGGGGGGATGCTCTCCCGGATTTTTTTTTGGAGAAAAGACCCCTTAAATTATGACTTCTGGTGATGTTAGAGGGGGGAAAGGACAAATTGAGGCTTAAGAATATGAGACGACTGATCAATACCTCCATTACATTACATTACATTGCATTTAGCTGACGCTTTTATCCAAAGCGACTTACAATAAGTGCGTTCGACCAACAAAATACAAACTTGAAGAAAACAGAATCATATAAGTACATCAGGTTTCATAGAGCAAAAACATTTAAAGTGCTACCCAACTGGCTTTAGAAAAGCCAGCCCTTTATTAGTATATAAGTGCTTTGTTAGTAATTCTATCGCTCGAAGTGGAGTCGAAAGAGATGAGTTTTCAGTCTGCGCCGGAAGGTGTGTAAGCTATCTGCTGTCCTGATGTCAATGGGGAGCTCATTTTGGAGCCAGGATAGCAAACCCACGTGTTTCTGCTGATGGGAACTTGGGTCCCCCTTGCAGTGAGGGTGCAGCGAGCTGTTTGGCTGATGCAGAGCGGAGTGCACGTGCTGGGGTGTACGGTTTAACCATGTCCTGGATGTAGGAAGGGCCAGATCCATTCGCAGCATGGTACGCAAGTACGAGTGTCTTGAAGTGGATTCTAGCAGTTACTGGAAGCCAGTGAAGGGAGCGGAGGAGCGGCGTGGTGTGGGAACATTTAGGAAGGTTGAAGACCAGACAAGCCGCTGCATTCTGGGTGAGCTGCAGAGGTCGGATGGCACATGCAGGTAGACCAGCCAGGAGGGAGTTGCAGTAGTCTAGGCGTGAGATGACGAGAGCCTGGACCAGAACCTGCGTCACTTTCTGGGTCAGCTGGGGACGTATCCCCTCCATAATCTTCAGTGTGGTTAGCTATGAATCTTCCAAACACCTTGTCCTGGACATAGTTTCTACAACATAAACTGCAACAGTACAGTAAGCCCACACAAACTGCAGAACACCGGGGCTTTGGGAACACTCAAAATTACTTGAAATTATTTAATTCCCATTGAACCTGTTAAGGGGCTTTTCTCACCGTCTCAGGGCTTCTTAAAATGTAATAAACTATTCATGTGTCCTGGTCATTTAACGGGAAGAAACTCAGGTAACTGATGATATGAACCATGTTTACCGAAACAAAACACAAGTCTCACAAGAAGCGTCTAAATGAGCCCCGAGCGAAAAAATGCTAACGCACTCTAGGTATAAATCAATCAATATATTTATCGGATATGCACAAACAAGTTTAGCTAACAAGCTGAGATTCCACAGATTCTAGAAATAAAAGTATCATCACTGAGCGATCAGAACTCGCGACAGGGGAAGCAAATGCAGACATCACACGACGTAGCTTTAGGTAGCCAACACGGAGCTATGCTCACCTTTTGCTGTTATTCTGATCAAAAACGACTGAAGGTTAATCCATAGGTTAATCCAATGTGTCTGTCACTTTGAAAAAGTATTGATAATCCATAATTCCGTTTTTATGTCAAAAACTGAGTTTTCATTAGCTGCTAATGATAGCTTCCAGAGTGAATGACAGCTTCCTGTTTTGTCTCCTTGGATACGAGTCCAAACAACTCACAGACTGCACCGAGCGCTGACGTAGGCGCCCTGTGACCATCAGATTTGTCGACGCTGATTGGCTGAAATTATGTTTTGGCGGCATAGTTTAAAGATAGCAACAGTCAGCTGCTAGTGGCTGCTGCTGCACTGGTTGAGGGCTCCTCTCTTAGCGCCCAGACGAGAGAGAGAGAGAGGGTAATGATACACGGGCAAGGCCAGGCAGGAAACATGTGACTTATCAGTAACTTTAGACATCGTAACACAATTTTAAACGATATTTTATTGTAGATTATACATTTTACTGATACCAATTATATAATTTTTTAAAAATATATATATTTTTTATTTTTCATGTGGGAAGAGGTGGGGCGGCGCCCCTAGCGCCCCTATGGGCCGGCCGCCACTGCAGTACACACAAACGCAAACATACACAAACACACGTATACACACACACACACTCGCGAGCTTCCCCCAGACCAGTAATCCAAACGAAAATATCTTCCCTCCGTAGTATTTGGATCATTTGCTAATAACCAATCAGATCGATAGATTCCAGAGAAGAGGAAACTTTAAAGACCTTTTTCTCAAAATGATGACTCGGTGACAGTCATTATATAATGTGACATATTTTGCTTAATATTAGGAGTACAACAACAATAATCCTGATATCATTAGAAAGCTAGGACTCTCCTCTTTCCAACAGTGTATACAACTCAAACAGCCTGTCCTCCTCCAAAAAACGACCAAATAGATTGTTCAGCAGCTTATTACGTCCTAGAGTTACGTTTTAAAGTTTAGCACCTCTAGTGGTCGTGTACAAATCATTAATACGTTGCTGATTATTTTGTTGTGTTTTTTTCAGAATGTCTCTGTCCAAAACTTTCGGAACGGCTACTAAGCCATATGAAATGCTTCCACAAATCAAGGTGCTGGTGGTGAAAGACACCACCAAAGTGAACAGGGGGGAGTTTCATGAAGAGGGTGTGAAGGCCACACAAGTCTATAGGAACAAAACAGCTGCCGTCAGTGACGGGCAGACTGTCCAGAAATGTATATTATTAGAAGATTTGATGGACCAAATAAGCGAAGGTCAAAGTTATATTGTCCGCAATTATGGCATGAATAGATTGGCCATACTAAGGCCATGCTTTGCCGAAGAAACACGGCCATATATATGTGTGCCCCGTTGATTGTGCCGGGCCAGCAAAGCCCTCCTGACACATCCTCCACCCTGCTGCCAATCCTGGACCTGACCACAGGCATTGAGCATTGGTCACAGTGAAAGTGTTCATCAACGAGGTACGTTATACTCAGATTTACAATGTTTTAAGCAAGTAACAATCATACATCAACAATTTGAAAACATGGATATAATGTAACTTGAAGTCATTTGAAAATATTATCCTATGTTGCACAGACGACTGTGAAACACAAACAAAAGGTCAAGTTGTAATTGCACACAAAGCACTGAGGCCTACACACTCAACTAGAATATAGTGTATTAAGGTTAACATAGAAACATACATGTTATTACACCAAAGAAACATTGTATAAGTTACAATTCCAGAGACATGTGCATAATATATATATGTTTTCCCCCTTTACCTGCAACATTTAGATTGAGCCAACACCAGACCGGGTCAGAACCACCAGTCCCACTGAGGAATATTACACTAAAAGAGGTAGGGAAAAGTGAAAATGATGTACAACAACTGATTTATACTCTGTAAAAAAAAAACATTTATTGTATCACTCAAGTGCAATTGAAATGCTCTGGGAAGTGTCTGTCTAAATGACATTGTACCTGTGACTAAGCTCTACTTATGTAGCCCGTTCTGTTTTTGCAGGATGAGGGGGAGATCCAGGTTTGCCTCTGGAGGGAGGCCAATCTGGTACCCATTACAGATGGCATGTTGATCCAGGTGAGCCATCTGCGTGGCAAAAAGTCCCCGAACTACGGGTTGTCCTTCCACTCCACATCCTTCACAGAGATAGAGGTGAGTAAAGTACTCAATGTGTTTTACTCATGCGCCCTATACGGCTAGTATTTTACTAAACATCTGGCAACACCATGCAACAATGACTAACTTGTATGTTTAGGTTCTGTAGCTTCTTTCCATGACCAAACAATTCAAGATGGAGGGACTCCGCATCCTAGAATGTGGAGACGTGGAGCTGCTACAGGAGAACGGCACCAGGATCGCCATAGATCGAGCCATTTGGTTGGAGAACTACACAATTCCAGTAGTTGCCATGCCATCATGGGTAGGGTTGGGTACCGAGAACCGGTTCCGAACCGGAACCGGTTCCAACATTTCGATTCCAACGGCATCGTTTAGAAATGTGAATTTCGGTTCCGCTTTTCGATGCCTGAGGAAATTTCTCTCGCTGCTCTCCGTAGCCTACTGGGGCGGGAAATATAGCGTTGTACCTACACTTCTACACAGCTTAACCTGGGACCACCATGAGCGGTAGACGCTCTAAAGTGTGGCTTCACTTTGTTAGGAAAGACAATGGGTCGGCAGAGTGCAACACCTGTTCCAAACTTATTTCCTCCAAAGGAGGGAACGCGACCAATATGACGAAACACCTTCGCCTGCACGGTATACAGATCAAGGAGTGTACCGTTTTCAACCTGTTTCGCCAGTCTCCGTCCGCCTCACAACCACCGTCGTCTTCCGCTGTCGTCCCGGCTCAACCAACACCGAGCACTCCCTCGCAATCAGGTATGTAAGTTAACATCACTCAAAACTAAAGGATGGTTGTTTTGTTTGAGAGGTTGTGTGTAAAATGTGTGGATATTCTATATTTTTGTAGATGAAAGTTTGCGGTCGCGTAGTTGCGCGGCTACAACGGCTCAAGCTAACAAGCCCGTCCCAGCCCGTGTCAACCCATTCACCTTAGCAGCAAAGGGAAAGATGACAGTAGAGAAACGTGAGGAGTGCCACAGAAAAGTCACCGCTTTTGTGGTGAAAAGGCTGCATCCCTTCTCAGAAGTAGAAGCACCTACATTTCGGTACGCAAAGACAATTATACAAATTTTCTAGCTGCCCAGACCTCACCCACAATAACAATATCATTTTTGTGTTTACAGGGACATGCTTTTTACTCTTAACCCCAACTACACCCCCCCTACCAGAGATTATCTGACAAATCACTTAATACCATCTTGGTATAAGATTGAAAAGTCAAATATAATCACTGAGCTTAGTGAAGTTAGCCATGTTGCCCTCACATCTGACGGCTGGACTAGTATTGCGCAAGACCACTACCTTACTGTCACAGCACACTATTTAGTGGAAGGCAAAATGAGGCAAAAAGTGCTCCAAACCAAGGCTGTCTACAAAGCCCAGACAGGAATCGTCATAGCAGAGGAGATTGCAGATGTCTTGACAGATTTTGGCATTTTTGACAAAATAGTGGCAGTCACAGTTGACAATGCTGCAAATATGGATGTAGCCATACACAGGCTCCAATTTGTGAAGCTGGGCTGCTTTGCTCACACTTTGAATCTGGCAGCACAGAGTCTCTACTCATTGGCCATCATGTCTCAATGGATAGCAAAGATCCGTGCACTTGTTGTGTGGATTAAGAGGTCATCAATGGCTAAGACCGTGCTCCAGGAGAAGCAGGCTATCCTAAGTAAGACTCACTGAGTTACATTCATTTGATTGTTGTGAATTGTATTTAATTAAATAATGCTTGTTTTTTTCAATACAAAGCACTGTATGCGTTTTTCAGGTATTAACATTTCAAAAACTATGTAAAACATACATGTCAAATGATAACTACTCCATGTTAAATTGAAATCCCATATGTTAAAGTATTTGTGATTTTCTTGTTTGTCAGAGCTGCATCAACACTCTCTCATACTTGATGTGAGAACTCGCTGGAATTCTCTCCACCTAATGCTGGAGAGATTTCTCGAGCAATACCCAGCAATTCAGGCAGCCAGCTTGGATCAACGGTTGAGAAAGCCTATGGAGAGGGACAGGTAGTCAGACTGATAGATAAAAAATATAGCTACTTTATGGATCCAAAAGAAAATGGCATCCAGTAGCTTATAGTTATATGACTCATACAAAACACTAATACTTCATTATCAAGGAAGTGATTGTCGAGCCACCAGAACTAGTGCAGAGAGCTGTCACTATAAGCATGTGGTAATGCAAATGTAGATGACTTAAAAAGTAGCTAGCAATGTAAACTATACTGATTAGTGTGGATAAGTGATGGATTTAAAGAGGAGCAGTTCCCTTGTCAAACAGCATTGTTTTTGTTTAAAATGTAATATTTGTAACTTATAGTTAATAATACAAATATTCTTTATCACTCAGACTTGCCCGGTTCACTGACGAAGACCTCAGGCGGGCAGAGGACTTCATCAGACTGATGAGGGTTATGTACACGTCCACCCTCTGCGTTTCTTCGGAAAATAACCCAACATCTGGACAGATTCTGCCCATTCTCAAAAAGCTTGAGATGCATTTTACTGTTACTGATGGGGACACAGTATTTGTGTCCAACCTTAAAAAGCAAGTTTGGGGAAATCTGTCAAAGCGTTACCAGGTAAAATAACTGAGGCTATAAAGAAGTTAATGAAGAATACATTACATAATTATATTCATGACTTAATCCTACATTTTCAATAATTGTGTTCAGAGTGATAAAATCAGGAGCTTTCTGGAAGAGGCTACTGCTTTGGATCCACGCTTCAAACAAAAGATGGACGATAATGCTGCTGTCTGGGACCGGATCAAGGGGAAGTTCCTGGCCAAAAATCTGACCGACTCTGAGAAGGTGAAATGTTATTCATGAACAAACAATGTCTCCTCAATCATTAAAATCTTTGATCATAAATAATGCCAATTGTTATCCGTAGTCAACAGATCTAGACTGTGGAGGAGATGGTGACGAGAACATGGAAGGAATGGAGAGTGAGGCAGAGGAGAATGTAAGTGTATGTTTGCAAAAAAAATATATATGCGAGGTTTCTTAATCATGATCTATGCTTTGAATGGAAGTTTCCTTTTGTGTGATATGTTGTTCTTTATTCATTTAGAAAATGCATCCCTGCAAAACCCCCAAAATGACCCCATTGGAGGAGCTGTTTGCTGATGAGGATGCCCAAAAGGTGACACCACAGCAGCATTCCATGTCCATCCAGGACCAGGTAGAGAAGGAGCTGCACATGTACAAGGCTATGCCACGCATAGTTACGTCTGATGACGCTGCGGCCTGGTGGTGGAACATGAGAACAACCTATCCTTGCCTGTCAGACATGGCCTTCTCATATTTATGTGTCCAGGCTTCCTCTACACCCAGTGAACGTGTTTTCTCGACTGCTGGTGACACAATCTGTGCTGAACGCTCACGCATACTGCCTGAGAAGGCAGATATGCTTGTTTTCCTCAATAAGAACTGTTTTTAAATGGGGGGGGGGTTTCCTTTAAAAGTTGGACTGTTGCTGTGTTGTAGCTTCAGTCACTCAAATAAATGTTGTTTTTTTGGTGAAAGAAGCATGTATCATTTTTTTACCCTGCCCCTCAAAGAATCGGAATTGAGAATCGTTAAGAATCGGAATCGAAAACTAGAATCGGAATCGTGGAAATTCAAACGATACCCAACCCTAATCATGGGTGAACATTGAAATGGAGAATGGCAAGGTGTCGAAGGTGGACAAAGTAGACAAGGACCTTGCCTAATTTTGTGTTGTAATGTTTGTTGAAGTGTAAGTGTCATTATTTAAATGTTCAAATAAATTGAAATATTGCTATATGGACTTGTCTTTCTGATATTAAGGATTATAAATACAATACATTGAGTCATTTACTCACCTCAACTTCAATCAAGGCAATAGTTATCGGATCAATTGAAGTAAGGTATTGACATTATAACTGCTGGAATCGATGCTGCAACCTTCTGATTGAGAGACCAATGCAGCCCCACAGAGCCACAGTCACACCTAGTAATAGATAGTGTGAATGGCTACTTTGAAGGGTTCATAAATAGATGGGACTAGTAACATTTGGCACATTTTATTTTCAAAAACCAGAACATGGGAATAAAAAACATTTATATAAATTAGACTGCTGCTCCGGGGGCGAGTCAGGCGGGAGTAAGCTAGTGTCCACAACGGAGGGTAACGTGATGTCCCCATCCGACCTGTTGCTACGGTCTGCAGTAGATGCAGTGTTGCTGGCGTTTAGTGATGGTTGCTTTAACCATTTTCGTATAAATGATTATCCACAGATGTGTGTCACTGCTGTGGAAGCACTTTGGAAAGGATACACGCGCAGCGGAGCAGGTCACGCGCACCTGACACAATTTGTTGTTTGTATTTTTCGCTCCGTTCTCTTTTTTGAATAGAGGGTGCATAACATTCAACTGCCCCGAAGATCCCGACGCGAAGCCCGAAGGGTAAACACCAGGTTTACTAATCTACCCGCACAATTTGTCTCTGGTGTCGGAATGTCTCGCTGTTGGGGAATATTTTCCAAGGCCCATAACTTTGACCCAGTTTATCAGTTCAAACTGTCCTGACTGAGCACACGCACCTCGTAACCTTGGCTGCTGTGCTCTCAGTGTTCTGTCTCCCTGTTCCTGCCTCTTGACGTCAGCTGATTGAGGTGTTATGGTTCTATGTTCCTGCCTGTTGGATCAGCTGATAGAGGTGTTAGGGTTCTATGTTCCTGCCTGTTGGATCAGCTGATAGAGGTGTTATGATTCTATGTTCCTGCCTGTTGGATCAGCTGATAGAGGTGTTATGGTTCTATGTTCCTGCCTGTTGGATCAGCTGATAGAGGTGTTATGGTTCTATGCTCCTGCCTGTTGGATCAGCTGATAGAGGTGTTATGGTTCTATGTTCCTGCCTGTTGGATCAGCTGATAGAGGTGTTATGGTTCTATGCTCCTGCCTGTTGGATCAGCTGATAGAGGTGTTATGGTTCTATGTTCCTGCCTGTTGGATCAGCTGATAGAGGTGTTATGGTTCTATGTTCCTGCCTGTTGGATCAGCTGATAGAGGTGTTATGATTCTATGCTCCTGCTTGTTGGATCAGCTGATAGAGGTGTTATGGTTCTATGTTCCTGCCTGTTGGATCAGCTGATAGAGGTGTTATGGTTCTATGCTCCTGCCTGTTGGATCAGCTGATAGAGGGGTTATGGTTCTATGTTCCTGCCTGTTGACGTCAGCTGATAGAGGTGTTAAGATTTTATCTTGTTATGCAGCATGTTGATGATGCTCCCTGAACTAGCTAAATACATGGGTCTGCAACACACTCTCACTCCCTAAGCGTCCAGGAGCGACGTTTGGTCAGTGTCCGTGGCGTCCAGTTGTGACGCTCCTAGGCTCCTTCAGCGTCATAAAGGGACGCAAATAGCTTTCAACTGATTGCAATGTATTCCCATCTGCGGCGGGATTTGACGCTCATGGAAGCACGGCATTCGTTTGTGTCGGCTGCCCTTAAAGGCAATGTGAGCGTCTATTCCCATTGGATAACGGAGAATTGTACACCCGGAAGTAAGTATTCCTCTTACTGTCGATTGATTTTACAGTGATATCTGCACTACTCATCGACTAAAAAACACCAGATTATCCTTGTTAATTACACAACATTGATTGGTTTAAATTGTGTGCAATGCTTTTGTATTTTTCCCTTCGATTCGGAGAAACAAATATTTTTTCGGAGTAAAGGATGGCAGAAGACACTACACTACCCAGAATCCCCAGCTATCGTTTGGACTACACCATGTGCTCTGTTTGACAAACCCCGTTTTTTTCACTATTCATTCCAATGGCTATGTCACGTGATCTTCAAATTTCTCCCTGCAGAAAAAGAAAACATGGCCGAACTTCGTTTTATTCTCGGTGGAAAATGCCAATTTTAAAGTTAGTTTGGCCATTAAAATGCGTTTTGATGTCATTTGATGCGAGAAATATGAGTTGTTATTTCAGATTATGTGTGCAGTGGATGTACATGATCTTTAGTTTGCTAGTTATTACGAAGATTACTTCAGGAAATCGCGACGTTTTCATTGTTACCAAGGTGGTTGCTAGGGACGCTGCTATCGATATTATTTCTGTTATGTTGTGTAACTGTTTAATGGTGTTATATTTATTGCTACCCCCTTCCCCGTCAATGTATAGTGTTGGTCCACAGCGCAAACATATTAGTTTAACAAAATCCGCATCTAAAGATAGCCTACGTTATTTTCCCCTGTGCAATTTCAGTCTCACATCTCACAGCACATCGTCATTAACAAATACCGGAAACAGACCGAAAACTTTTTAAAAAATAAAATAATACTTTATTCCGAGTGTGCTTGCTTTTCTCTTTGAAAGTCATCACATAACGGCATTGTAATACACGGTTCGGCTGCATTAAATATTACATATCTGCCGTAGTTCTGTATTTATAGAGCCCTGATGAGAAGACTTATAGACAAACATGAGGAACTGAAAACGTGACGTGGATCATAAATATATCAGCCATTAAACAACATCTTACATTTCTTTTCACACAATACGTCTCCTTGCAGTATCAACACTAATTCGGCTGACTTTTATATTTGATCCAATTGGTAGATAGGCTGTATTTACACCATAAAGGTGCACAGCTGATATAAAGGGACACCTAGTGGTTAAAGCATGTTATTGAATTTCATTATTTTTATTATTAGATATTAATAGGATCCCTATAAAGTATATTCATTACTCGTTATTCTCTACTAATAGTTAATTAAAGACTGTATATAATGACTATTTTGCACATCCCTTTCAAGATTTTCTAAGGTTTATTGACATATCATATAGGCCTACACAACTATGGTGTAGTTCTGCATTGAATGAAAAACTTGGGTCGCAGGTTCATTACAAGACATCTATCAATATTTGTGCATACCTCCAGCAATGTTAACTATGTTGAAGCACTTATTTTAACTGATATTATACATCATGTATTATACTCTTATAAGATGTATGTAGATATTTCATCTCCGGCCTTGTCAGGTATTGAACAATCAATAAAGAACACAGAATTGTTAAATATAAAACACAGAATTTGTGTGATTATACTAAATGATTTACAAATAAACACCACTGCATATTTACAACTGTTACACATGCTGATGTAACGCAAATGTTCCAACTTGGGATCAATAAAGTATATCTTATTTTAAGCTGATCGATGGCTACTGCCATATTTGCAACATTTGCCTCTGAACCTTGACAAGTGCATGTTTCAGGCTTATCAATTAATGTAATGTAATGTTATCAATTAACAACAGGGGTCACAAACATAAGACCAGCTGTTAAATAAAGCTCTTCTGACCTTAGCTGGCATGTGTGTATATATATTAATGCTGCCCATTATGGGCACAAGCAATTTTCACCCATTTATTAATTATATGTTTTAAATTTGAGTGTTTCATATCCCCATAACCTCCAGGGATGTACACAGTTTAATATTGGCAACTTCTTATTATGGGAAATACGAAAAACGTCTTTTAAAACTACAACTCCCAGTAGAGATGTGCCATAGATAGAGAACATGTTGCGAAACAGAATAGCCAGCATGTGTAGTTCTGGGGATGGGGTGGGGGAGGGGGGGACGCGGTGGACCCGTTCAAATCCAGTTTTGGACAGTCTGACGTGGTTCCATCCCATTTCAAGTGCTGTTCGAGAATCGGCGTAACCCTCGGAGCACACTCTCCAATCACAGAGCTTGAGGACTATCATGAGGTTTGTCAAACAGAGCACATGGTGTAGTCCAAACGATAACTGGGGATTCTGGGTAGTGTAGTGTCTTCTGCCATCCTTTACTCAGAAAAAACATTTGTTTCTCCGAATCGAAGGGGAAAAATACAAAAGCATTGCACACAATTTAAACCAATCAATGTTGTGTAATTAACAAGGATAATCTGGTGTTTTTTAGTCGATGAGTAGTGCAGATATCACTGTAAAATCAATCGACAGTAAGAGGAATACTTACTTCCGGGTGTACAATTCTCCGTTATCCAATGGGAATGGACGCTCACATTGCCTTTAAGGGCAGCCGACACAAACGAATGCCGTGCTTCCATGAGCGTCAAATCCCGCCGCAGATGGGAATACATTGCAATCAGTTGAAAGCTATTTGCGTCCCTTTATGACGCTGAAGGAGCCTAGGAGCGTCACAACTGGACGCCACGGACACTGACCAAACGTCGCTCCTGGACGCTTAGGGAGTGAGAGTGTGTTGGGGTCTGGGGTAGAGTTCTTCAGAATTGACGTGGCAACTCTTCCGTGCAGACAGATCGTGGCTGCTGTGACTTGTGATGTGAATTCTCCGGCCGAAGCTCCAAATAAATCATCAGTGTTTGACATCAAAGCTCCTGCTCTTCCCGTGTCTCTTTCCTGAGTCGGTGACTCCCACTGCATTGCTACACAGAAGTTTCCCTTACACTCGCTATGTTAGTACATTCTTAAAAAACAA